ATCAAATTAACATAATAATTCTGAAGCCGAATCTTTGAAAGAATTTAATCTAGGAATTGAAATTAAATTTACTTGTAAAAAAAATCATTTTGTAACACAATTAATTAGTTTTGATTTTTATATAATGATCTGGAAGTGCTTCGGACACAGTAACACAAACTAGTACGAGCAGAATTGTCACCTTTTACACCTCTGTGTACAATTTTTTGTTCCCATTTACACTAAAATATGAACAAGCGGTAACACCCCAGTGAATATTTACATGAACTTTTTCCATAAAATAGGGGGTGGTGTTAAACTTAAACATTAATTTTTTCGGGGCCCCCTCCAAAAGTTGTAGTTACCCTACCCATGTATGAACATATTATTTTTATTTTTTTCTGAACCCCCTAACCCCCCTGTACACACCCCCTTAAGATTGTTAGGGTTAAACTGAGAGTGATTGTTAGGGTTAAACTGAGAGTGATAATTTAGATTTCATTAAAAATCATCATTATTTTTCCCTGTATAAACCTCATCTTGACTCTATATTAGGGTTTCCATGGTCGCCGAGTTCATTGGTGACATTAAATTCAAGATTTGAAAATCCAAAATGGGGGAAATCCAAGATGGCGGTAATATTTCCACAAATTCCATATGTGTTGATATTTTCTCAGTGTGTAACAACCTGTCTAACATTTTACTGTTGCATTTTCTTGTCTATAAAACTTTTTATGTATACTTATCTATATTTGTCTATACACTCACCTATGTTTGTCTATATTCTCAAATATCTGTGCTTATTGTGTGCTTGCAAACTAAAGTAATAGGGGAGATGTGAAAACAGTTAGGGGAAGAATTGTATATACAATGTGGGTGTATAATAAAAATTGTGACCTCTTAGAGGGTCCACTCGACACAAGCTAGATCATTTCGGGACATTTCTATAGCAGTAGGAAGAAACCAGAAGATCCGGAGAAAACCAATGTGGTTGGACAGGTGATCCTTCTCCTTGTAACATACATCTAAAAATTTTATGTCTCAGCTAGGCTTATTACAAAACAATTACCGATATACAATACAACATACAACTACTTTAAAAATCTGTCTTTACATAATAGTTTGGATTTTATAAGATCAGATTTTATTTTTGGGGACTTAAGTCTATTTGAACACCGTACTGCACAATATATTTTCAGTATTTACACGTCAAATCTCATCCAAGGATTGCCAATTTTCTATAAATTTATGTGTTGTGTGTACAATGGGCCTATTGTTATTTTCAGGTACCGTAAAGGTATCAGAATCTGAATCCCTGATAGACTGATATAAATTTCAATTATATTTGTAAGAGATGCTCACAATTATACCTTTGTTCACTTTTAGAGCATTTTGGCGACGGTAATATTATACAAATGGCGAACTGTTTTCTTGCTCAAGAATCGTCACTATTATCGACCATTGCTGATAATATAATTTGAAATAATGATATTCGTTAGGCATGCATGTATATTTCACATGCCGTTTATGAAGCCACTGTAAACGGAATTCAACTATCAAAATATTTAATTCTATTCGAAAGGAACTATCAGCCATTTTGATTACATGTATTACATCGAAATAATCACCGCCTGAATTAACTATTAGGAGTAAATAATGACTTGAGATAGACTCTAAGACTCTAATATATATCTTTGGCAATTATCAATCAACTAATCATTAATCCAAGACAACTTATTAGTATCACTCATTGACACGGTCAGGACGATTATCAGCCAGTTGATTAATTTATAGTATCCCGCCATGTGATTGACACTCAATAATGGTTAATCCAGGATAAATACGATTAGAATTTTACGATTTTTTTCCGCCAGCTCTCAAAAAGAATCGCCAGTATGGCAAAATATTATCGCCAAAATCAAATTTTAATTGCCATTTTCATATTTTTATCGCAAATTGTGACTTTGGCGACCGACAGTGTGAGCCCTGACGGGGACACAAATATTCAAAGATTGATCTTCGCTGTGCTTATCAACAATTGATATTAGACAAAGCTTCACAGGAAATAGTTACAAAAAACATGTATAAAGGATTATTTCGGTACACAAGATTACCATTTGGTGTGTCATCCAGTCCTGCAATTTGGCAGCATTTTATAGATCAAGTACTTATAGGATTAGACAAAACATGTGCTATTATGGATGATGTATTGGTAACTGGAGAAGACGACAAGGAACATTTAGAAAATCTTGAGAAACTTTTCAAACGTTTTCAAAAATACCAACTACGTGTTAAGTTGAACAAATGTCGATTCTTACAAAACCATGTAATTTACATGGGACGAGAGTTATCTGCAAATGGTATGCAACCAACAGATTCCAAAGTTGATGCAATACGTCAAGCCCCAGTTCCAATTAATGTTACAGAACTATGATCCTGACTTGGGATGGTGAATTTTCAAGCTCAGTTTTTACCAAATTTAACAAAGAAATTACATCCACTGAATGAATTATTAGGAAATCGTGAGTGACAATGGACAAAAGATTGTCAACATTCTTTTGACTTAGTGAAAAGATTCATTAGTTCAGATCAGTTAGTAGTGCATTAAAACACCAAATTACCTATAGAAATTGCCACAGACGCCTCACCTTATGGGATAGGTGCAGTGATGTTTCACATAATCGATGGAGTGCGACGACCCATTGCTTACGCATCAAGAACATTGCATAAACATGAACGTAATTATGCGCAACTTGATAAAGAGGCATTATCAATTATCTTTGGTATACGACGCTTCAGGAATTTTCTCTATGGGCGACATTTTGTGATTCTAAATGATCATAAACCATTGGAACAAATTTTAGGCGCTAAAACGGCAGTACCAACATTAGCGGCGCAACGGCTACAGAGATGGGCGATAGAACTTTCAGCACTAGATTACGAATTAAAGTACATATCTTCAAAGGAGAACTTTTTCGCTGATGCTCTATCACGTTTACCCTTACTGTGTAAGCATTTTAAACGTTTAAGGATCTGATGAACTTTACAATATTTAAGACAAAATATTAGACAGATTTCCTATCACGGATATTACAGTTTACGAAAACTGGATGGTCAGACAAAGTGGATGATGAAGGATTAAAACCATATTTCCAGCATAGATTTGACTTAACAGTGGAGCAGAATGTTATTCTGTGGGGATTGCGAGTTGTGTTGCCTTCGAAATTTATCTCAGAAATTTTAGCAGAATTACATTCATCACATCCAGGAATTGTGAGAATGAAAGAGATTGCGCGAAATCATGTTTGGTGGCCAAATATAGATCAAAACATTTCTGATATTGTAAAAAGTTGTACCTCATGTCAACAAACCAGAAGTTTACCAGCAGCAGCTCTATTAATGCCATGGTTATGGCCAGGTTTGGCTTGGACAAAAGTTCACATAGATTATGCGGAAAAAGATGGTAAAAACTATTTGATCATAATGGACAGTTACTCAAAATGTCCGGAATGCATTTTGATGAGAAGTACGACATCTCAAGCAACAATCACTGTGTTGAGAGACTTGTTTAGTAAATACGGTATTCCTTGTCAGTTGGTTAGTGACAACGGTCCGCAATTTGTCAGTGATGAATTTAAGACATTCTTAAAAGATAATGGTACCAACAAATTTTAGTTGCACCATGTCATGCTGCAAGCAACGGAGCTGCAGAACAGATGGTTCAATCATTTAAGAGGTCATTAAGTGCTAGTTGTAATATGGACATATCTCTACAACAACGTATAGACTCTTTTCTTCTTATGTACAGATCTACGAAACATCCAACAACCAGATGTACTCCAGTTAAATTATTTCTTTGACAAGAGGTCAGAACCTGATCAAAAGTCTAATCATGATACTCAGTTTTGATCAAAGACTTTAGACAAAAAGGTACCTGGTGGCCTAGAACAATTGCTGAATGAACTGCTCCAAAATCATATGTAGTAGTTGTACGTGATGGACGTGTTTGGAAGAGACACATTGATCAAATCAGGAAAGGCGATAATAGTCTTGAGGAAAATGTTATTGTTGAAAATAGTGAGGGATAGAATAATAATTTCATACCAGCTCAACCTCGTGGCAATATTCAACAACAACCTATAGCAGTTAGATGAGAGATAACATTATTTCAGACCAGTGGTTGCCAGGCAGGATACGCCCACATTTTGCAAGAGATGGATAGAGAACAAGCTAAAAACAAAAACGATTTTTTGTACAATCAGGGGCAACAATCCAGAAAGTTATGGTCTGAAATGCGCAAATATCAAAAGGGACTGAGATCTTTGGGATATAGAGATATGTTTTAAGTTTCATCAGAATCGGATAGAAATTGTGACCTCTAGAGGGTCCACAACCTTTGTATTGCATACTTTTACACAATTTGCGTACAAAGAGCGGCCATTTTGTCGGGCAGTTTCATTTCAAGTTTCCCGAAATTTGAATTCAACCTTCATTATGGTGGAATGGTGAAATATTTAAACGCTTTTTAAAATCGGATAAAAATTGTGACCTCTAGAGGGTCCACAAGCTAATCTAGGAAGTCACGGACCGATATGCGCATATATGAAAAGTAAGCAAGATCTTTGGATTATAATTTATAAATTAAACGAGACTTACCTGTAAGGTGAAGTTTGATTGTAATTCTATACCGTCATCTTCTTCAGTAGGGATCACATGAGATAAGCTCTAAGTCACGTGGTCGTCAGGTTTTAAAGTAATTGTACATATGCCAAAAAACATTCCCAGAAAAAACAAGGGAGGGAGTTTAAAAAACAGTTCTATTAGCAACCCAGGGAGGGCATGTGATCCCTACTGAAGAAGATGACGGTATAGAATTACAATCAAACTTCACCTTACAGGTAAGTCTCGTTTAATTTATAAATTCTATCCCGTCATCCTTCAGTAGGAATCCCATGAGATTTCAAAGCTTGGCATGTGTACAAAACATTCCAAACAAAAAATAATGAATAAACACCATAATCTAAAGTAATAAATGATGTTTATTATAAAGGATGCAATGTAAGCAAAACAAAAGAACAAGCTTCTCAGCTCTTATACCGGTACTGTAACCCCAGTAAAACACCAACTCTTGGCCAATTCAAAAAATCTAAACATAATAAACAATACTTATTATACATAGTTATAACATCAAAGTTATCACTCCAGCCTGCAACATAAATCTAATCCTTATGACTAGACAAAACAGACAATGCAAAATCTGCATTGTGAGCTACTGTGTCATTTACAGTATCTACAGACAAATCATAAAACTTCTGAAACGTCCTACAAGATGCCCAACCTGCCACTTTCAATAAAGCTGTTAAAGATATGTTTCTACTAGCTGCACTAGTGGATGCTGCCCTAGTACTGTGTGCACTAAAAACCTTAGTGTTAATGCCTGCCTGTCTGAGTGTAGATTTTACCCATCGTGCTATTGTGGATTTAGACGCAATAGAATATGGTTTAACTGTTGTAATAAAAAGGTTACAAATATTACCCCTTAAATTGGTTGTGCGTGAAATGTATTCATTTAGTGTTCTAACTACACAAAGATTTTCATTTGAATATAAAGGTAAGACAAGGACTGGCTGTGCCCTATTAGGCTTTGACTGTTTTATAACAGAGGTAATTGGTATAGTTACTCCCTCTGGCTCCCATATAAAATCATTCATATTTAAAGAATGCAAAGATTGACATCTTTGTCCAGACAAAAGACAAAGTAAAGTTACTAATTTAATAGTTAACTGTGATAAAGTCAAAGAAACAAGAGGTGAAAGTTTTTCTAAAAAATTCAACACAGTTTCCACATTCCACACATGATTATATCGTGGTAAAGCTGGGCGCTGTTCAAACACACCTTTTAAAAAACGAGACACTAAAGGGTGCTGTCCAACTGAGAATACACTGTCATGAAGAACAATAGTCGAAGACAATGCAGATCTGGCCGTATTTAAGGCACTATATTTTAAACCCATGTTAAATAATTCCACAAGAAAATCTAATATGTCAGTCACAAAGGCAAACACTGTATCAACTTTTCTTCTACAACAAAACTGTTCCCATCTCTTGAGGTAGGTATCATATTGTTTTGAGGTTCCCAATCGCCATGATTTACAGATAATGTCTTGAGCTGCTTTCGATACTCCTTGCATCGCAAGGTTATTCCGGACAATGGACAGACTAGAAGAATTAACTTCCTCCATAATTTGTGTTCCACCTGTGGGTTGAAGGGTAGGAACAAAGTTGACTTGTTTAACTTGACTTCCCTTGGAGAATCGATTAACATCTTCAACATTGTTGAAAACCAGGGTTGAGTAGGCCACATTGGGAGGATCAAGATTATGTGAGATATCTCTTCTATTTTTATCTTTTTCAAGACCTTGGATACAACACTGAAAGGTGAAAAACCATATGGTAAATGAAAAGATTTCCAACATATAGAAAAAGCATCAATTGCTATAGCCTTAGGATCTGGTTTCCAGGAAACATAACAGTTTACTTTATTATTTAATCTAGAGGCGAACAAATCAACATCAGGTTCCCCAAATGTATTTATGATCTTATCAAAAATGGCCTTATCAAGTGTCCATTCAGTGTTATCGTCAAAATTACGTGACTCTCTATCAGCCACCACATTATTTATTCCAGCTACATGACTAGCAGTTAAATTAATGTCTTGCTGTAAGCAAAATTCAAATATCGTTTTAGTAATGGAATTACATTGAGGTGATTTGCTGCCCCCCTTGTTGTTAATGTAGCAAACTGCTGTTGTATTGTCGAGCTCAATACGAACAGATGTATTGCGATGTATAGCACATAAGGATTTTAGACCAAATAGCGCAGCCTGCAACTCTAAGCAGTTAATATGCCATTGACTCTCATCAACATTCCACCTACCTCCAGTCGTAATATTGTCACATACTGCCCCCCAGCCTAATAAAGAGGCATCAGTCCTGATAAACACTGTTGGGGGTTCTATGATAAGTGGCTTGTAGGCTTTGACAAGATTATTAGACCACCAATAAATGTCTTTTTTAGCTTCGATGGATAAAGTCATACATTGTTCATAATTACCATGTGCCAATTTAAGTGCAGATATTTTTTCCATCTCAATATTCCTATAAAAAAGTTCTCCATGCTCAACTGCTGGTAGACAGGAAATATAAATACCTAATAGTTTTGCAACAGTACGTATCTTGGGTTTCTTCATTAACAACAATTCATTTGCAAACTTAATGGCATAATCAACTTTCCTTGCAGGAAGTCTAATGTTCATTTGTTCTGAATTAAGAACAAAACCTAAATGTTCAAGCTTTTTTGTAGGGGTCAATACAGACTTATCTTTATGCACAACAAAACCTAAGGATTTAAATAAAGTAACAGTTATGTTAATGTTTCTACAGCAATTCTCATAAGAATCACTCATTAAAAATACATCATCAATATAGCCACTTGATGTAAGAGCTTGTTGTCTGAGAAAAGCAAAAATAGGTTTCAAAAGCTTAGTAAAATAGCGCGGTGCTGAAGCTAAACCATTTGGGAGTACTCGAAACTGATAAAGTTCGCTATTCCATTGAAATTTCAGATACTTCCTGTAATTTCTCGCAATTGGTACAGAATAGTAGGCATCCTTCAAATCTAGTGATGCCATAAAACATGAAGGCTCTATTAAATCAATAATTGTTTGAATCGTGTCCATTTTGAAATGATGATACACAATATATTCATTGAGATTTTTAAGATTTAAAATCATTCGATGAGGACCATCCTTTTTTGGCCTAATAAATATTGTGGATAAAAATTCTCCATTCTCATGAGATGTTAATTCTATAACACCTTTATCAAGAAATTTGCTTAATTCATGTGAGATGATCTCCTGCTCAGTTTTATTAAAAACATGCTGATTGGGTTTACTTAACTGAACCGGTATTTCTGTAAATTCGAGTTCAACCCCCTGTATAGCGTTGAGAATCCAAGGATCGGATGTGTATTTTTCCCAAACATGGGTAAAATTTTCCAGTTGTCCACCTTGAAACATTTGAAAATCATACTGTAACTCAGACAACAAACTGCTTCCATCATGAAAAGTGGATAAAGACACACAAGTATCTAGTGGTAAGGGATAATGAGACTGACACTCACCTACCTCTGTGTTATCAGACAATAAATCATGCTCACTGGTACTTAGACTTTGGGTTTCTTCGTTTTGGTGGCGGCACACTTCGTTTGTCTAAAAAACGATTTCCACCTGGCCTTCCATAGTTTCTGCTATTTGATTTATAAGCGTATCTTCTATTCTTGGCTTCCATTTTATTGTAGGGGCTATATCTTGTGGATTCCCTGCTGTAACTTGAACGATCTCGATTCACTTTCTGTACAACCCTGTTGGTTTCAGAAATCTCTCGTAGTCGATCAGTTAAATCAGCACCAAACAGCAAGGCACCGTTCGGTCCTTTAATTGTACATAATGAACGGTAATTAGTGTTAACGTCTGTTTTCATCAGAACTCGGCGTCTGCCATTTACTTCTGCATTAACTGCAGCCAAAAGTGCCATGGAATCGGTGAGGAATTGGTGTCCATGTTTGTTTACATTGACAGTGTCAATGGCCGTAGCGCCCCCTGTAGACGTCATAAGTAACTCTGCCAACTTTGTAAGCGGGATAAACGCCTTCATAATGATGTTCTGAATTTTTTGAAGTTTAATGTCGGTTGAGCGTGTTTCCCCGCTCAGCGACTCCCAAATTGGCGGATTAACTTTAGTTTGAGTCAAATTTTGACAATTTTGTGGGCGTGTATAGCGGTTGAGTAATTCATTCGTCTTTTCTTCGGACAACCCATGTTTGATCATGTTATTTACCGCTTCTGCCAGACTGGCTTCAATATTCGGCCCACATACTTCATCAATATTATTATATTGAGAAAAATAGTTCGTTAAACAAACGGGATTTGAAACTTCTTGTTCGCTTTGACCAGAATGTGACCTGGGGGGCTCTTTCTTCCCACTACCAGAAACAAGTAATTGTTGCAATGCCGTTGTGCCGTCAACTACTTCAGTATTATTTACATTTTCTTCGTCGCTTTCATCTTGCTCGTCGTAATGAGACGAACAGTGCGAACTGATTTCATCTTCCTTGTCAAAATAATAGTTAAAGAATTCCTGTTGATTTTTCTTCAACTGTTCAATATTTTCTGTTTGAGATTTTCTAAAATCATCCATCATTAATTTCATCGAAGACGAAATAGAAGACGATATTGCAGCTGCAAACGAATTTTCGTTCGAAATATTCAAATTCCTGTTAGGAAAAACTGCTGGTTTATTCAGTTGCTCAATAGAGCCCGCTGCGGCACTAATACTAGAAGTAGGCCTAGCTGCACTCGACCGGCTGTGATTTGACTTTTTCTGCGAAGGTTTCCCTTTCGAAGAAGGGGGTGTCGGGATCAAACTTTTCCCCCCAACAGCATTTGGATGCTTTGTAAGTAAGTTAGGTTTACTTGTCAAAAAATTATCAGATCCATCAGTGATTACACTGGTTTTATCCGAGCTACTTTTATTATCACACTCAGGCGACGCCATGACAGGTCGTGCTTCGCTCATCAAGACAAATGAGCGATAAAATAAAAAGATCTAAACCACAAAAAATAAGTTTTGTTCTAGCGGGTTTCCGCCGAAACCAGGTTCACCAAGCAAAGCAAAAGGTGAGAGTGGTAACTAAACCGTAAAAATGACAAATTATTGTCATTAAAACAAAGATCAAATAGACAGAATTGTCTGCTATGTGACCACGCTCTCGAGACCAAACGAGCTACTGACGACCACGTGACTTAGAGCTTATCTCATGGGATTCCTACTGAAGGATGACGGGATAGAATCATACATTTCAAGTTTCATCAGAATCGGATAAAAATTGTGACCTCTAGAGGGTCCACATCCTTCGTATTGCATACTTTTACACAATTTGTGTACAAAGAGCGGCCCTTTCGTCTGGCAGTTTCATTTCAATTTTCACGAAATTCGAATTCAACCTTCATTATGGTGGAATGGTGAAATATTTAAACGGTTTTTAAAATCGGAAAAAAAAAAATTGTGACCTCTAGAGAATCCACAAGCTAAAAATGTGATTTTTCGAACAATCAGGAGCCATAATCCAGGAAGTTACGTTCGGATGTACACGACTATCAAAAGGAACCAAGATCTTAGTGTGTAATGATGATATATTCACGTTTTTTTTTAAATCAGATTAAAATTGTGACCTCTACATGGACGGCAAGCTAAAAACATGATTTTTGGTACATTCAAGGGCCATAATTCAGTTAGTTATGATCCGATACGCGCGAATATCGACAGGGACCAAGATCTTTGGGTTATAAACATGTATTTCGACTCTCATCAAAATCGGATAAAAATTGTGACCTCTAGAGGGTCCAAAAGCTTGATATACCAGATGCTATACACTATTTGCGTACGAGGGGCAGCCATTTTGTCCGGCAGTTTTGGCACGATTTTCACAAAATTTGAACTCAATAAACAGTGATATATTCAAATGTTTTTTAAATCAGATAATAATTGTGACCTCTAGATTTGAGGGACAACAAGCTAAAAACATGATTTTTCATACAATCAGGGGCCATAATTCAGGAAGTTACTATCCGATATGCCCGAATATCGAAAGGAACCAAGAATTTTTGGTTATGAACTTACATTTCAAGTTTCAACAAAATCGGATAAAAATTGTGGCCTCTATAGGGTCCACAAGCTAAAAACGTGATTTTTCGTACAATCCATGAAGTTTCGGTCCGATGCCAATATCCAAAGCAACCGAGATCTGTTGGAGATAAACCTATATTTCAAGTTTCGTCAAAATCGGACAAGAATTGTGACCTGTAAAGTGTGCACAAACAATTGTGGACGGATGGACATACAGACAGAGGCGACGACAATATACGTCCACATGAAAATGTGGGCGTATAATAAAACGGCAAGTTATAAACATGTAGGTCATGATCTGAATACATCAATAATAGATATGCCAGTTGATACTTCAAGTACAAGAGATTTAAACACAAGCAATAATCTAAGAACCAGAGGAACGACCACAATATCCAAGTGAGATGAATAGTTCTACAGAGTTGAATGTCAGACGGTCTTCAAGAATCGTGAATAAAACTCAAAGACTGATTGAAAAGTGTTAATTTTATTTCTACAGTAGTGATTACAAGTGAATGAATGACATGATAGTAAAATTCTTGATGTGATTTATCAGGTTGATAAAGATATGTTGCCAGGCAATAAAACATATGCCCATAGCAGCTAAATTGTCCGAGTGGTCGACAAGGGTTAACGCATATTTATTCTTTTATAGGTAATTGGGGGCATTTACAAGACAGTTTCATACAGATCAGATTATAATTTTTGTCGTTTGAGGGTTCACAAGGTTCTATAACAAACTGAAACAAGGGCCTTAACTTTGGAAGTAATTTACAGAAAATTTTGAAATTTGACAGGCTTTTTCGTTTTACTAATTTAAATAATGCATATAAATTTCATACAGATTGGATGATAACTTTTGTCATTCGAACGTTCACAAGGTTCACAAAGTAAAACAAACAAACTTTAGACATAATTGACGGGAATTGCTAAAATTCAATAGACCTTTGTTTCACAAATTAAATGATGCATATAAATTTCATACAGCATTAACATGATTAAACAAAGTGAAACAAGGACCATAACTCTATAAGTAATTATTGTAAATTACTGAAATTCAATAGTCTTTGTGGTTTCACTAATCTAAATGATGCATATACATTTCATATGGTTCAGATGATAACTTTTGGTGTTGGGGTTTTCACAAGGTTCAACAAAGTGAAACAAGGACCATAACTATAGAATAATAAACGGAAATTGCTGAAATTCGATAGGATGATCGGATGATAACTTTTGGCGTTAGAGTGTTTACAAGGTTCAATAAAGTGAAACAAGGGCCATAACTGTAGAATAAAAAACAGATATTGCTGAAATTCAATAGGCTTCTTTGTTTCACTAATTGAAATAATGCACATAAATTTCACAAAGATCGGATGATAACTTTTGGCGTTAGAGCGTTCACAAGGTCCAACAAAGTGATACAAGGGCCTTAATTCTAGACGTAATAAACAGAAATTATTGAAATTAAATAGGATTCTTCATCTCACTAATGTGAACAACATATATCAATTTTAAAACAATCAGATCATAACTGTGGCGTTCACAAGAAATTGTGGACGACGGACGGACAGACAGACGGATAGGGGCTACGGCAATATACGTCCACATTTCTGTGTGAGCGTATAAAAGAGAGAGAGAGAAATGGGGTTTAACGTCCACTCGACACAAACTAGGTCATTTCGGGACTAACATATGGTTTAATTTTATTTACATAATTTGCTTGCGCGTAGGGGTCTTTAGCAGTGGGAGGAAACTGGAGGACCCGGAGAAAACCCACGAGGTTGGACAGGCGACCCTACTCCTTGCCACGTATAACTGGGGATTCGAAACCACGCCAGTCGACTCAATGACAGACTTTATGATACAGCGCGCGCGCACGCTGGAAGATGTGGTGTAGCAGGGCAGTTCAAAGTTATTTTTTTATGTCCAGTCAGTAATTCACACTTTATTCAAGCAGCAAAACTAATCTGTAATTTGTTAATTGCAGTAAAGGGTTTGAAGTGCCACAGGAAATACATTAACTAAATATCTGTATGTAAACAATAACAAATCAGATGAGCTTCGCATAAAACTTATTATTAAATAATTTTCTGCTCTCTGCCAACAGAGAATACAACCCCAAAACAAATAAACACAAGAAGATTGGTGTGAAATGATGACTGAAGCATGGGTTCTCGCAGTAAGTTTAAATGTAATCAGATTGCATTAAAGCAACTACCCGAAGAGTCTTGTGCTTCTTAGTAGGATCAAATAATCATTTGGCTGAATCGAAACCCATCTATCCAGCAAGATACAGCTCCAATCGAGCCCCGATTGAGGTGTCATGCCCAACAGCAAACATCACACCAACCCAAAGTTCTGAAAATCATTACTAAAACAACCAGCAACATATGATTCATGTTCTGTGCATGATCTGCTAACAATTATTAGGGGTCAATAATTCTTTCACGGAGAATCATTATAATGTAAGTAAATTAAACATAAAACTTTCAAAGAAAACCTAATAATGTGAAAAATAGACCTACACAAGATTCAGCATTTTATTATCTGGCTATGTATGTCTATTAGAAAATTGATAATTTTTTCATTGAGAATGATAATTTTGTAAGTAAATTAAACAAAACTTTCTAAGAAAACCTAATTATATGGAAAATTAACCTACATATGTTTCAGCATTTTTTTATCTGGTCTAGAAACCATACTTTTGATTGGATCTTCCGGTGAAGTTTGTCATATGATCTGTAGACCTTGTATTGAAATTGAGGCATGTTAAATAAACATTATTGGTATACATGGCCATGTGCGTTAACTATTCTTCACATTTGACAGTATTTTCTATCTAAATCTATATCCATTTCACATCACAATGACTGAAATAAATGCACCTTTAATAAGATATTTATAGAAAATTAATTTTGGTATACCATGCATGTTGATCATGTTGTAGTTTCAAGCATGTTAATTTAATTAACTCCTTCCGTTCAGCTATTTTATTAGAGATCGATATTATTTTGCCACTAGTGAAGAGTAATCAACTGTCAGTTATATTCAATTATGTTTTCTTTACTTGCGGCTATATTACCTTTGATCTTTATGAAAACAATACAGCTAGCTACATGTAACAAATTTACTGTTCATAATTACTTGTATTATTATATATAAACCAAGAAAAAAAAAATTCATCTGGACACATGGTGGGTTTACACGCTATTGATGAATAGCATCTCTGGTCTGAAAATGACATTTTTCATCATTAATCATTATCTCAAATTGTGTTCCTGAATCTGCATCTCCATACTTGTTACAGCTACTGTTTTTACACAAAACAATACCTCTGAGGTTTTGTCAAAATCTCGAATTACCATACATCAATTTCAAGATCATGTCATCTTGCAAACCACATTTGTCATATTTGTCTTCTTGCAAACCACATTTATCATAGGTGTCTTTGTGTCTTCTTGCAAACCACATTTGTCATATGTGTCTTCTTTTAAACCACATTAGTTTTTCCGTGGTTA